CCTTCTAGTCGTTGCCCCTGGGCTGGTGTGCCACTTTAGTCTCATTTTGTTTTACGGGCCTAATCTTTGACTGGCGGGTGAACCTCAGGAGCGACTTCCTTACTGAGCCAAAAGGGTGTTCGGGGGCCATACTCTCAGGGTTTCTCCAGTCTCTGTCAGGCCAGTAGGTCTGTGAGTTAGAATTTTGTTTTACATTTGTCTCCAGCTCTGTCCAAGACCCTCTATTGTGATCCCTGTCAGAAAAGTCTAAATTTGCAGAGTTTTGAAGGACCTCAGCTATCTAAGCTTATCTCCCACTACTATCTAATAACTAAGCATCCTCACCTTTGGGTACTAGGGCTGAATGTTTGCCTAAAGCAATCCCTCACCTATGCCAAACATACTTAGAATAAAAATGGTAATTTTAAAAAATAAACCATACCCTTTATGTGAAAATTCATATGAAAACCATAAAGGAGGTATCTACTCATACTATCCTCTTTGCATAATTTCTAGGTATGATCTGTTTGATATCAACTCATCTTTAATTAAGAGTAAAAGTTAAATCTTTACACTATGCCTGATAATCCAGGCATGAGGACTTGAATTCTACTAGAACTCAGCCTTATTAGTGCTAACTTGCAAAATACAGCACACCTAAGATACATACCCATATCTAGAAGAAATGGACTGCCAAAGCTAGTTGTATAAAAATATGAAAATGGACATCCCATATTCACAGACTGGAAGTCTTAATATTGCCAAGACGGCAATGCTCCCCAAACTGATCTACTAATTCAATGCAATCCCAGTTAAAAAACCAGTTGACTTCTTTGCAGAAATTGACAAACAGATCCTAAATCCATGTAGTAATGCAAGGAACCTAGACTAGCCGAAACAACCTTGACGAAGATGAACAATGTTGAAGGATTCATAATTCCCAACTTCAAAATTCATTACAAAGGATCAGAAATCAACACAGTGTTGTACTGGCATAAGGACAGACATACAGGGATAAGTGGAATAAAACTGAGAGTCCAAAAATAAACCCATGTATATATGGACAACTGATTTTTGACAAGAATACCAAAACCATTCAAGCGGGAAAGAATAATCTTTTCAACAAATGGTGCTGGGACAATTTGAGAATGAAGTTGGACTCTTACCTCAAATCACATATAAAAATCAACTCAAAATGGATCAAAGACCTAAATGTAAAAGCCAAAATTATAAAACTCAAAAGAAAACATAGGAGTCAACCTTTGTGACCTTGGATTTGGCAATAAATTCTTAGGTATCACACCAAAAGCACAAGCAAGAGAAGAAAAAAATAGAGTATCAACAAAACTAGTAACTTTTATATCCTAAAGGATACCACCAAAAAATGAAAACACAACT